GTGTGTGTGTGTGTGTGTGTGTGTGTGTGTGTTTCTTGCAGGAGCTTTTGTAGCCCAGGCTGGCCTTGAATTATTTGTGTAGCAAAATGGGCCTTGACCTTCTGATTATCCTGCTGCTGATGCTCAGGCTACAGGTGTGCACCACCAACCACCACACTCATCCTGTTCTTTTGAGAAATTTCTGCTCAATCCAGTTGCCTATTTATTGATTGGATTTTTGGAGGGGAAGGGAGGGTTCCTGGAGTAGATCTTAGGAACTCTTTAGATAGACAAGCGATGTAACTTTGTCTTCATTTTCTTCTCCTTGCATTAACTCCAGTCAGGCTGGCCCTGTCCTAGAACACAACACACACACTGAGTTTTGGGGTTTTGTTTTTGATAGTTATACTAAAGATTAAACCTGGGGCTTCCCATGTGCTAAGTAAATAGAGTTATATCTCCAGCCTTTAAAAATTATTTTTATTATTTATTTACTTTCTTATCCATTGAGAAAGTTCTTGCTAACTTATGAGGCTGGCCTTGAAGTCATTCTACAGTCCAGATTGACCTTAACTTTATAATCTAGCGTGTGCTTCCTGAGTGCCTAGAGCATCAGGAACATGTCACTAAGCCTGGTTTGTCCTAGAAATCTAACCAGGGACCAGTTCCATTCCAAAAAAAGCTAAATGCCACTAACAAGATGGTATTTTCAGAGGGACCCGGGGGGAACCGCGGCGGGCCAGCGGCGAACAGGCCCGGAGCCGGGAGGCTGCGGGCGGCGCGGATCAAGAAGATCACGAAGAGATGGGGAAGGTGGCGGCAGCTGTGCCTGTCATCATCTCCCGGGCGCTCGAGCTCTTCCTGGAGTCCTTGTTGAAGAAGGCTTGCCAGGTGACCCAGTCTCGAAATGCCAAAACCATGACCACGTCCCACCTGAAACAGTGCATTGAGCTGGAGCAGCAGTTTGACTTCTTGAAAGACTTGGTGGCATCCGTGCCCGACATGCAGGGAGATGGGGAAGACAACCACATGGATGGGTACAAGGGTCCTCGAAGGGGCCGGAAACCAGGCAGCAGTGGCAGGAAGAACGGAGGCACTGGAAGCAAAGGCAAAGACAAGAAGCTGTCTGGGACAGACTCGGAACAGGAGGATGAGTCTGAGGATACAGACACTGATGGAGAAGAAGAGGCATCACAGCCTCCGCCTCAAGCCAGTCACCCCCCTGCCCACTTTCAGAGCCCTCCAACCCCCTTCATGCCCTTCACCTCTCCTCTGCCTTTGCCCCCAGCGCCCCCTGGCCCCTCAGCACCTGACGCAGAGGATGAAGAAGACTATGATTATAAGCGCTCACTGCCCTGACCCCAGGCTATATGCCCCCTTTTAGTTAGTTTTAGCTGCTCTGGGGAGAAAAGAAAGATGGAATTGTTGTTAAATTTATTAAATACATTTATTTAAAAAAGATGGTATTTTCAGGACAGTTATTACAGAGTTACCGTGTTTCCCTGAGCCCTGAGCTCTCTTCCTCATCTTTCACCCAAGGGATACCAGACATCCCTGCCTCCTTCCCTTCTGACAAACCAACCAAACAAACAAAGCTTTGATGCCTTTTTAAACTGTGTGAGCTTCCATGTTGAATTTAGAATTTCCACCCAGTGGACCAGTATTGATAAGCTAAGCCTGATCTAATTTTATATTCCATCCACCATTATCCCACACTCTTAAAATTTATTCTGACACATAGTCCCCAGACTTCCGCTTGAATGAATTAGCAAACCAGTAAGCTCTTTAATAGTACAGCCCCCCTTCTCATGAGCTACACTTTTACCTCCCCTTGAGGAGCCTGGAAGCCTGAAGTCTGGGTACAGATCAAGTGGTAACTGTTGATGGGCCCACACTCTAGGGAAGAGAAGTTTAGTTTGCAGTAGGCAGACACATGGTTGGACTATAAGACTTGTCAAAAGCATGAAGTACTGAGACCCACCTTGTTCCTACAATGTAAAGCCTCTGGTCAGACTATCCTAAAACATAAACAAAAACAAAACAAAAGCCTCCTTTCTCCTTCAGGGAAACAGTTCATTCTTGCAGTATAACAACTTTTGTGAGACATTTTTCAAAACCTGATCAAACCTACTGTATAAAGGGAAGAAACAGATTTTTATGTCACAAGTAGGGAATAAGAGATTGGAGAAATACAGATTTGTATACAGAATAAAGGATTGTCTCAGAGTTTGCTTGTAGAAATAACAAGGCAAATGTTTGAGACTAGCCATCTTCGGGTGAATGAGCCACACTGTCTTTGATGAGGCGCAGTCTCGAGGACGCCCCTCGGGTCCACACTACTTTTCAGCATCTCCCAGGGCACATGTTACAACTCCAGCATTTGCTCTGCTTTCCGAAAACCAAAACCACAGAGAAGAAATGACAAAAATCCATGTTTCAAAATGAAGAATCTGTGTTGTGACAGAAGACAGCTCTTTTCCATCTCCTGGCAGTGGCAGCCAAGGGATGAATGGAATTAAGAAAATAATACTAGGTTACTATTGCTTTTCCTGAGCTCGGCTACCTTTGCTATCACTGCAAGACCCCAGAAGGCCACCTTCCACCAAGGCTGGTCTCTATTTGCCCCCTGAGTGATGGAATGGAGCATGTCTGTCATGAAGCTCTCTGGACCTCTCCTTAGGGCAAGAGCGAGAACTCAGCACCCCAAGGGTTGTATATTGTTTCAGGATTTTTCTTCTCGGACTCCCTTCAGCTTGGGCAGAAACAGCAGTGAACTTGAGTGATGCTAATCGGGAGACTGGCTGATTCCTATTTTCTTTTTCATCAACTGCTCTGGGAGGAAAGTTAGAAAAGTTTGTTTCGCCGGCAGGCATCGGGAACACGACTGCAATTACCACCCTCTCATCTTCCAAGCGAAGGCTATAAAGGGTGAAGGATGCCAGGCTGCCTTCCACTCCTGCCATGCTTTTAGCAGTGTTCATTCATCAGTGTGGATTTCTCTGCCGCCCTGGTTAACAACAGGCACCTGTATGGAGACATTGGTGATAGAAACCTGCAATGCCCCACACTGGCCTAGGTACTAGGGCTACAGCCTTACCAAGTAGAGCCCGTGCCCTTGAGATGGTTGCAGATTCATTTCCCAGGATGACAGGGCTAAAACCGTAAATCATGGAGCAAATAAATAATCTCTTTCCCTTCCAACTTTTATTATGAAAAACTGTCAGCAGCAAGAAAAGCTTTTGGAACATGTGCTGAACGCCCTTCTGTTCACTGAGACCCCTAAAGGCTGCCGCCATTTGCTTCATGTCCACAAGAGGGGTGGGCCAAAACACAGACAGACAGACAGACAGACAGAGATAGGAAAAATAAGGGTTACTGAACAGCTCAAAAGTAGGCTGTATGTATAACACATAGGTACCTAATTCAATCATAACTCCTAAAAAAAAGAATAAGAATTTTAAAAATTAAACCTTTGTCCCATGGAACCAAAATTCAAATATATCTAAGAAAACTATAATTTCCTAGTTCCGTTATATTTAAATATCCCAACTTGATCTAAAAAAAATCTTTTAAAATGCTTTTGTTCTCAGCAGAACCTAATTAAGATGTACATCAGATTATTTGACACTCTTCAATCTGAAGTCATGGCCAGCCCTTCTATGTCAGGATGCTGCACACTGGCTTCGTGGGGAGAGCAGGTCAGGTCTACGCGGCCTGCCTCTGAACTTTCTGATTGCTTCTTCCTCGAGGAGTCCATTAGCTGTCTCCCCCACCCTCAAATGGAAATTAAACCTCGGCTCTCGTTAAGCAGACTCAGCATGCTTGACAAGAAGACTCAGTGCTCCTTGCCGTGGCTGGTGAGAGTACACAGTGACTTTCAGAAACAGTTTCAGGTGCTCAGGCAGAAACACAAACTCACCGCAGGTGCCAGCAACTCCCCTCAAAGGTGCGCAGCCAGGAAAAATGAAACCGTGGGTCCAAACAGAAATGTGTTCCGAAGCGTCCCTAGCAGCACTGCCAATAGAAGCCCAAGGCGGGGAACAACTGGAGTGCCTGACAGAAAAACACAGTGATGCATATGCATGGAACACAGGACGCCTGGAAAACAGCCCAGGTGTCCGTCCACTCACCGAAAGGCACGTGGAAGTTAGTACAGCCTCCCACTGCCGTGTTATAAGAAGAAATGACGTCCTGGTGTCTGGGTGAACCCCAGAAACTCACCAGGTGTAAGCTGCCAGCTGCGACGACCCTGCATGGATGGACTGCCCCAAACAAACAGGTCTATAGAGTGAGTAGATGTGTGGGAAGGGCTAAGGCCGCTCTGGGTTCTAGTTCTTGTGGCTCTGCGGAGGAGGAGAGGGTGTGGGAGTGGCTACTAATGGGCATGGGTTTAGGCAGGAGGGGTATGAAATATCCTAAAATGGTCTTGTGGCGGTGCCTGTACAGATCTGTAGCTGTAAAATCACCTCACATTGTATGTGCTTTGAATCAGTGAATTGCAATGCATGTAGATTAAGGTATAATCTAGCTGCTGAGAAAAAAATATATAAGGAAAATCCCCCAGGAATAGTGCAGTGCTTCGTCTTGTAACTCATCGTGATGCCTGTGAGTTCAGAGGGTGTAATCAGTGAATGGAGTCCCATCTGGCTTCTTGGTGAAGTGTCTAACCTTGAGTTTCTAAGGTAAGCAAGTGAGCTTTGCCTATGTGCTGTGAGCAATCTGGGAGTGACCAGCTGCTCCCCCAGCATCTGATGCTGGACTATAGCAGATGTTAACAAGTCTTGCTTGCAGCACTTCCACCAAGGATTATAGGACAGCCACTATTTCTTTCTACAGATTCAAAGCTCGGATGGTTTGATGGCTGGTAGCGGACTAAAACTCAGAGCTTCCCTTTCCAGCCTGCTGCATGCTGATGTCTTGGGCTAAACCTAGCCTTGGGTGGGCTAAAAAGAGAACAGCTACTGTGCTGTGAAGTAGGAAGGGGTTCAATGAGGTTTATTCCCAGAATCTGGCAGCAAAATTATGGCCTCCTATCTTAAAGGCACTCCGGGAAAATGTCCTTCAAGGGGTTTGACTATTGCAGATCCTTAAGTATGAATCCATAGGAGGATTCTATGGGAAGCACAAGTGAAGACTCCTGCCCAAATAGTCTCAGCCCAGTGGAGAAACTTTGTGGGTAAATGTCACAATCAGTTATAGCCTCCTGCTGAATGGCATGAGCTCCAGAGCTAACCTGCCGGGATTCCAAGGTCATGGCTAAAATTTATTGCCCATGCAACCATGAGTGACTGCCCCAGCTATCAAAGGAGAATGGTTGTAATGCCAACCTCATAGGGTTTGGGGGTAGTAAATGAATCTGAGAACAATTCCTAGAAATAGTAAGTCTACAAAAGTCTTGTCTCTCAGCCTAAAGAGATAGCTTAGTCAGCAAAGTGCTTGCTTTGACAGGATAAGGCTCTTAGCTTGGCTCCCTAGAACCCACAGCTTTTAAAATGCCAAGCATGGTGGTACATGCATGCAATTCCAGCATTAGAGAGGCAGAGACAGGTAGATCCACAGGGATTACTGTCCAGATACCCTAGCCTACATGACAAGTGCCAGACCTCTGGGAGACCCCATCTAGAAAAGGAAATGAAGTAGATGGCTCTCTTGGTTATCTTTTGCATACATGTGTGTGAACACACACACACGTGCATGCATGTACACATAAACTGTATATCATGACATCCTTACATTCTGCAAATGCTTAAAGAACTCTTTGCAAGGAGTAAGGGTTCTGAAAAAGCTAATGACAGCCAGTAGGCTCCTGCTTAGTAGGCTGGTGACAGCTATTACAAGAGGAGACATGGACTCCAGAGGAAGAAGTCAGGATGGGAAGTCACCAAGACTAAGAGATTTGATTGGCCATCTTATCTCTGCTACCAGCCACTAGAAAATGCAGAGTGAGTCCCTCCCCTTCCGTGAGCCTCCTCCATCTCTATGATGTAAAAATGGGAGATTGTACTTGTTCATAACCCAGGGTCCTTCCCTTTCTGACCTTGTCTTTTTAGCCGTTGATGCTGAAGCCAGTGTCTTCTGCTGGGAGCTGTGGTGTGCCACAGTCAGCTCTTAGAACCAATGCTTCGCTGATGTCAGTCAAAGTCAACACACATCAAAGCACCCGAGGTTACCCAAAGTTGCCTTCACTTCTCCGTTAATCAAAGGGAGCAGCTGAAGGGAGCTCCCGAAAGAGTCAGTCCCACTGTGGGTATGTAATTTACCTCGTGTCACCAAGACTACAAATCATGAGTGCTCACTGCATTAGCTTTCTTCGTTTTCTACTTTTTATGGCCCATGCAATTTATCAACAAGCATGCTGGCCAGAAAACCAAATTTCCAAGGAAAACCATGTCAATGCTTAGCTGCGTGAAGGCCTCCAGATGCTGATAGATACACAATACG